ATGCTAAGTGAAATAAACCAGTCACAAAAGGAGGAATACTGTATAGTTCTAATTGTATAAGGTATACAAAATCGTCACATTCATGGAGACAGAAAGTAGAATGATGGTTATCAGGGATTGGAGTAAGGGGAGTGGGGAGTTAATAGGTACAGAGTTTCAGTTTTGAAAGATGAATTCTGGAGATTGGTTGAACAATATTGTGTATGTACTTATCACTACTGACCTGTACACTTAAAATGGTTAAAATGATAAATTTCATGTGTTTCACCATACAAAAATGTTTTTAAATGCTATATCAAAAACATTCAAAGCAGAGGTCACCCCTGGGCGGGAGGCAGTGGGATTGGGTTGGAGAGGGCTTCAGTGGTGTTGCTAAAGTTCTAGTTCTGCAGTTGAGTCATGGGTTCACCCAACTTTATGGAGGTTATATGCTATTTCTAAACATTCTCTGCATGTCAGAGAAAGCTGAGCTGTTTTCAGTAGCATCACTGCTACAAAAGACCACCCTTGGCTGTTGTGGTTATAGGTGCCTCCATCTAAAGTAGACATCGCCGTTTGTTCTCAGATATCTCAAACTCGTTATGCTATTCTTAAAGATCCCAACTTAAGTACCTCTCTTTTCATATAATACTTTAATTATGCCCTCTACTCCACTAAATAACCATTTTGGAGTGGGGCCTTTGTGTGCCTTCATCTTTCATTCAAACTTCAGAAGTGTGCTTCCGCACTCCGCGCCCCCCTCCAACTGTTTGTCTCGGGGGCTCTGATTCTGAGTAAAAGTCCACGTTCTTCCTGTGGTCTGTATAGTTCATTCGTTCAGTAAATACTGAGTGCCCGCTACGTGTCAAGCATATTTTAGATCTGAAGCTACAGCAACCAGCAAAACAAAAATTCTTGCCCCCTTTACATCCATCTTTCCAGAAAGGAGAATCCTAATTCTCAGCCTAGCTTCTCCCCCATCCCTTCTCGTGTATGTTTATTTTCTCCAGGCCTCTTCAATTCCAGTCTCTCTTGAGGAGCGAAAAGCAGCAGCAGGTCTCCCGGTCTTCCTCTGAGATTTAACGGGTAACTTGGAGGTCCTCTGTCTATGTCCGCTGTGGTTTATCTGGGACTCTGATCTTTTTCAATGAACAGGGATCACTGATGGAGAGGAAATGGGAGAATGTGGGGGGGTGGAATGACAAACATACTGAGTAAGAATTCTGTTCTGAAAAGGAATGCATTATTGTGAAAGAGACAAAGCATTTGGATATGTTGGCAATGTTTCTGGCTGCCCTCAACTAGGAGCCCCTTTCCCCCTCCACACTCAAGGGACTGTCAGTGATCAGACAGAACTGATTCCCAAAACAGAACTCCAAAAAGGTGGTTCAAAGCTTTCTCGGGAACCCCTAATGTAGTCCACCCTTCCATACAAATCTAAATTCCAGGGGATGCTGTGTGTTACTTTGCTTGTCAAGTTTCTATTTTTAAATATGCAAAATGTTCAGAAGAACTTTTTCAAAATCACTTTTTTCTAACATAAAAATTCATGCTCATTGTAAAAAAATAATTCAAATAATATTTATAGAGTAAGAAAAAATGAAAAATCCAGTAGAGATACCCACTGTTAATATTTTGGTGTCTCTCCTTCTCAGTGCACACATATTTGTATGGACACAAATGGACCCAGTTTTGGTATGGACCAGAATTGGCTAGTATAATGCTGTTCTGGAACCCTTTTGTCTTACTTAGCTATATAGCGTAAACATTTGCCTGTATCAGTAGGTTTAGCTATACATCATCATTTTGTTTTAGATTTTATTTACTTGAGAGAGAGCAAGTGTGAGAGAGAGAGAGCACAAGCGGGGGGGGGGGGGGGGAGAAGCAGACTCCCCGCTGAGCAGGGAGCCCAACATGGGACTCGATCCCAGGATCCCGGGTACCATGACCTGAGCCAAAGGCAGACGCTTATCAGACTGAGCCACCCAGGCACCCCTATACATCATTATTTGTAATGACCATATAGCATTCCTTTGTTAGATAATGTCCTAATTTGTTTTACTAAGTGCCTCTTTTTTAAGGATATAAACACCTAGAATACACATCTTTTGTACATTTGTCTGCTCACTTGTCTTTTTTTTTTTTTTTAGATTTTATTTTATTTGAGAAAGAGCTCACACACGGGTCGGGGGGGCAGGGGCAGAGGGAAAGGGAGAGAATCTCAAGCAGACTCCACACTGAGTGCAGAGCCCAACGCAGACCTCAATCATGACGTCAGCCAAAACCAAGAGTCGGACGCTCAACCGAATGAGCCGCCCAGGGAACCCTCTACTTACTTCTTTAAGTCATCTTTTTAGAAATGGAATTGCTGCTAAGCCTCACTTTCTGATGTTTACCTCCAGAACCTTCTTTTCAGTCCTTTTTTATGTGAGGGTCAAATGAACAAAGGCTTCATGTCATTTCACTGATCGATTCTAAAGTGTGTTTTTAGGTGCAGAGCATGCAGTATGTGCCATCATTTGAGAAAGAGAATGAAGACATAGATTTCAACAGAAGCACGCTCAGAAAGTCTCTGCCGCTTTTAAAGTGAATGTATATTAGTTGAAATATTCAAAAATAATTTTATAATTGAAAAAAAAATTAAGACTGTAAGTATTAATGAAGTGCAAGGGCGATTGAGACAGGACTCTGTTGCCAGGGAAACCTGCAGGCAGAGGCCTGGCTGTTTCAGTGGCTCCCTGCCTCCCGCCTCCCTTAGGGGCTGAGGCAGGTCTGAGGCATAGAAATGTTGCAATCGCCCTGCTGAGTTGGTATCTTCTCTTTGAAAAAAATGATTGAATTCATTTAGAGAAATATTTGCACCGGTTTATATACAATGAAAATATTCATACGGATCCATGTTTGTAAGAAAAACGTTTTCAACAGCATATCCATTTGCATTTCAACAGAAAATGTTCCCTTTGCATTTTATAAAAATAGCCATGAATTTTTTAACAAACAAAGACTCATTCATGAGGATTCTTTTCATTTCTCCAGTTGAGAAATTTTCAGAACCCTGTCATCGTCTTGTGGATTCCTTGAGTTAATTCAGCTAGACATCCTTGTGTCCTCTCAAGACTTTTCTTAAATATTTCTTCTCCATATCTAGTCTTACCCTGAGCCTGTCACTTTTTTAAAATATAATTTAAAAACATATTTTATTTATTATTTGAGAGAGAGAGAGAGAGCGTGTGCATGCCAGGGGTGGGAAGGAGCAGAGAGGGAGGGTGAAGGAGAGGGAAAGATTCCCAGGGAGACTCCACGCCGAGTGTGGAGCCTGGCGCCGGGGATCCCAGAACACCAAGACTATGACCTGAGCCGAAAACCCAGGGCCAACCGACTGAACCACCCAGGCACCCTGAGCCTGTCACTTTTAAATGTCAGTGTTTGTCATGTTGTCGCTTTAATCCTTGGCCGTCTGTGGTAACTTATTCTGTACTTTAAAGTTGTTAATGCATTCTTACAAAGGTGCTCAGATCAGTGACTTGGTGTATACATGCATACGTCTACGGAATTTACATTTATATTGATATTGTTGTGAAAGTTAAAAAATGGACCTATTAGCTTCACCTTTTCCTAAACTTTGAAGAGAAAAGAACCAAAATCTGCCCTTCACCTTTAATGTTTGGGAAGATCAGAGTTCCTGTTATTAAGCCATCCTTTCTCTTCCTAGCTATAGAGAAGAAATAATCAGAAAGGAAATCATTGAATAATTAAAGATAAAACAATTTTTATCGAATATATCTGTAACATGAACTATAGATTAGTCAAAAACTGGTTGAGGCTTGCAAAATGATTAATTGCAATCATTTTGAGCTTTAATATCTGTTGATTATGTTTACAGCAGAGGCAGACTTATTCCTTAGGTAGTTTTGGCTAGTTTTTCATGCTATTTTTGCTTGAATAGTTTAGTGGGGACAGGTGACCTGCAAGAGAAAGGAACGTGACTAGTGGAAACATTAGCCTGTCTTTACCAATGGCTGAGCTCTGGGAGGGCAGAAGGGCTCAGAGCATTGGGCCAGGACCCATCCTCGTGGATTCAGGCACATTCCCTCGACTCCCTTAGAGGAGGAGCAACATGAGCTCGTATGTGGTTCACTCAAAGCTTCTGCTTTCCCCATAAAAGGGCTCGCCCTGAAGCTCTGGGCTGGTGAAGGAGAACTTGCAAGGCTGCCCTCCCCTCTGGATACCAACCCCACCAACGGCAATTCCTTCCAAGCAAAGGTTTTTCAGGATAATTAAATATTTGACAGTGCAAAAAAAGGAATTTTCTGAGTGAACTGAATCAAGGGTTGGTGGTAGTAAAAGTCCCTCCAGCTTTCTGTGAAAGCAATAGAAGATGTTATGCCATCTGCTCTCTGAGGCCTCCACCTTCCCCATCCCACCCAGAAATGTCTATGCTGGAAAAGTCTGTTTTCCAACCCTTGGGCTGGGACAGTTATAAGAAGAGGAGCCTTCTGCGCCAGGAAGCCCTTTGCTACACTTGGAGTGAAGACTCCGTGCCACTCCCACCGCTCCCAGGAAGGCTTGTTTCCCACCTGGCATCTTCACTTCTTCCATTGCTGTGTTCTGGGATGTAGGTTTCATATGTAGCCTAGGAAGGGGCAGAAAGGCCCAGCTGCAGGGTGATTATTATTATTATCATCAAGTCTCCTTTGATGAGGTTGTACCCATCTTCACGTCCTCACCTGCCCTCCTGCCGGGGCCACAGTAGTCCTAGGAACTCTGCTCTCGGCTATGCTGACTCCCATGCTTACCGATCCTGCCTACTCCCTTCATATAGTAACTGGAGGCAGACTTTCAAATGGAGAAACCAGGGACAGAGAGTCCCCAGGAGCCCGGGTTGGAATCAGGAGCCCAGGAAGCTGACTCCCGACTGCTCTGACGGGGCTCCTGTCTCCATTGTTGGGGAGTTTTGAACCTGAAACATGCTCGTTCTAAGACGCAATCCCAACCTCCTCTCGGCTTCTAGCTGGTGCTTCTTAGGAAGGCCGTGGAACAGCTGCTTCTAACCTGCTCTCAGCGGGAGAACTGAAGATTTGAAGCCGGCAACTCACCAGGGAGATGGTGGAGTTGGAGGGTTGGGTGCGGCAGAAGCGTTTGAGTAAAGCCTCTCGCATCTGCAGGAGATGTAATGCCCTGGTTATGCCAGCCCGAGTCTTGGCCTGGGCACCGCAAGTCAGATGGGTTAGGTGGGCAGACTCACCTTTTTGTCTGTGAGGCAACCAAACAGTAGGATGAAGACACCCTAAAAGAGGGATATGGGGATAAGTTCGTCAAGGAGGAAGGAATCCACCGAAGTAAACTCTTTTCCCTCTCCTTTTCTTTTAGCTTCTGTCTTCCTGTCTAATTCATGTCCCGAGGCTTCCCATCTAGAGTTTTCTGCATATTCGCATCATTTGGTGCATAGAATCCATTTCAGGTACTTCTCTTACTGCTTTGGTTACAAAGGATAGATATCAAAGATTTGAGTACTGACAATTCCCTGACTTCTCTGGCAAAACCAGACACTATTTTACGGATAAGAAAACCAAAGCTCACAGAGGTTTGTCCAAAGTTCTCCAGCTAGTCAGTGGAGGCAATGGGATCCAAACCTAAGTCTTCTAAAATTCCTGAGACTGTTTCTTCTGCTCCACCATGATACCTCCTTGAGAGGGGACTGGCAGTGACTTAAACCATCTAAAAGGGCAAAAAGCTCAGCCAGCACACTGTCACCCACCTGGGTGGTGTTGAGAATCGTGAAGATGTAGTGAGGAACTATGGAGACTTCCTCCAGCACAGTGGCCAGGCCCAGCCCCCAGGTGAGGCCGAAGATGGGGGTGAGAATGAGCAGGGCTTTGGTCACCCCCAGAAGGGCATGGCGCTTCTCCACCTGGGGCCCCTCTGACAGCGAAGGTCTCAGGAGCTTCAGCACAGCCATGGCTAGTACCAGCCCATTCATGCCCACAATAGCCAGCACTCGCCCCACGAAGGTGTAGAGTGCCCCTCCCTTCCCATTCAACCAGCATGCCCCCTCCCCCCAGGTATTGCCCTCGGGGTAGGTAGAGGCCCAGGGCAGCACCTGCAAACCCCATTGGGCATATATAGCCAAGGACCACCATCAGGGAGAGTACTCGGCACTTGGACAGCTGATGGAAGACGAACAGCAGCTGGTGCGCCAACATCAGGGCCTGAGCCAGCATCCAGGAAAAGGTGGGCAGGTAGAGGAAGTGACAGAGGAAGGCAGCAGCCAGGCAGAGTGGGCTTTGGGATCCCAGAGGAAGCAGTAGGGCTCCCAGGAAGCAGGTGTCCGCAGCCAAAAGGCAGATCACCATGTTGAGCAGGGCCATGTGGCATAAGTAGGCAACTTTGTTCGGTACACGACACTCCACGCCAGCCTGTACATGCCCAGGCACACAAGCAGGGCCAGGATGGAGGCCCCCAAGCCCACCTGACTCAGCAGCTCCAGGGTGGGGTTTTCTGGAAGAGTATTTCGGGACATGAGGATGGAGAAGGCAGTGAGGTGCCGACCGATACACTGAGTAGTGGGGCTGGTGTGAGCGGTCTGCACCTGGCACCCTTCATCTGACCAACCCCCCTTGCCCTGGAAGAGATTGTGATCCCAGAAGACACAGTGGGGAGTGCTAGCTGTGTCCCCGAAGTCCATGATGACTTCTCCCTGGTTGAAGGCCTGGCCACCTGCCATGATGGAGATAGAGAGGACCAGCCCAGGAGTGGCATAGAAGGAGTCCCCGAGCCCTTGGCCATAGTTTGAGGGCAGAAGATGGTCCAGTTTCCGCAGTAGCATGCTAGTAACACTGAAGTTCGTTCCATTATGGCCCAGTGGGGCCAGTGAGCGCCTAGGAATGCATGCCTGCAATGGGGGCTGAGTGGAGAAGGAGGCTCTGTAGTCAGCAGGAAACGCAGGACCAAGGAGCTGGGTCTGCAGCTGCACGTTATGTAAGCTGAAGGAGAAGGGGTGATCCTGTGGGCCTAGGCTGCGTGCCAGGGTCTCCACAGCCAGCAGGAGATCTGAGCCTGCTGAGGGCTTCTGGGCCTGGGGTGGGGCCCACAGAGAGCCGGTGTCCATGTCTAGGACCTTGTCTGTGGTTTTCAGGAGAGCCTGTGATGCCCAACAGAGAGATCCCAACAGAGAGATGAGCCCTGGCTGCTACAGCCCATAGCAGGGCCAGGGGCACAGGGAACTCTAGGCTCCAAACCCACCTTTCCTAGTCCAGCAGAAGACCCAAAGGTGGAGAGAAAGGGGAAGAGGAAGACAGACCTGTGAAGGAAGAGTTTCTATATGGGAAGAGTGGGGAGCTGTTCAGCTCACCACTGGGGTGGCTTCAAGTATGTGGTCTCCTGATGCAATCCAGCCTCTCCATCTGACAGTCTTTCTCTCCCCTCCATTCCTCGGGCCACCCAGGCCCTAAGGGGCCCCTTTCCAATTCCTTGACCCCTACAGGTCTGTAAAGCTAAGAATGGTACCCAGTGGTAGAGGGCATGATGTTCTGAAGTAGAAGGCCACATGCACGTCCATCCACCCACATGTGATATACATTCCCCGATAGGAAGTGTGTTGTGTCATTGCCCCTGGTTATTCTTTTGGATGCCTCTTATTGGTCACCAACTGTTGCCCATATCGAGAGCTGGTTTAGGTGAGTCCAGCCAAGCCAAGAGTGTTTGAGTATCTCCATGTAGGTATCGTGTGTGTGTGTGTGTGTGTGTGTGTGTGTGTGTGTGTTTCAGGGGGTGGGGGGGGGCTTCACATCATATGCACGCATCTGCATGTGCATGAATGCCTCTGAACTCATATCTTCACACCCCTTCCTGCCTTTCCTGACCTCCCGTGTGTTATCAGCATCAGAACTTCTCCACATTTCATGGCCTTGAGACTGGTGTCCAAGAGGAGAGATGGACCAGGGAAGCAGACACTCAGACTCTCCAAAGTCTGCTGGCTGACAGTCCATGATGATGTCAAGGGGACAGAAGTGCCCAGAGGTAAAGAGCTTCAGGCCCCTACTACCCAGCTGGCCCCTGCCATGGCTCGGAGAGCTCACCTCCAGGGCCCTGCAGGTAAGCTGTATTCTAGCATCCACCACCACCTTGGCCAGGAATGATGTGGTGCCCAGCAGTGCCAATAAGTCAGAGGGCGAGCTCACCGCCATCACGTGCTCCGACAGCTGTGCCAGGATCTGTGGCACCTCCCCAGCAGGCCAGCCCTGGCCTGCCCGTAGCAGCTGAGACATAAGACAGCAGGAATTGGGGAGTCGGGTGGGCAAGTCCTCACGAGGGAGGGGCCATTCCTCTCCCATCCAGCTCTTTCCTCCCCATCCCCGTACCAGTCCCAAGGGAACAGGAAGCAAAGATCGAGTGAGCCACATGGAAGGAACTGACACCCATGTTAGTGGAACAGACATTTGGTGGGATTAAGTTTGGAGAATAGCACACTCCCCACAATGAGAATGCTGGGCACTCTCTGGCCCCTGCCTCACTCCCTGGCTCTGCTGGGCTCCAGTTCAGAGAAGGTTGAATGACCTTCAGGCCGGGCCTCAGGGGGAAAGGCTTCTAAAGCTAGGTCCTGAGTGAGAAAAGGGTAGGTCATGGAGGGTGAGGCCTGTGGGCAGCAGGGCCTGAAGCTTTACCCGGGCTCTGTGATGCAAGGCCAGGAGCTCTGTGTCTGTGCAGCTGCTGTGAATGGGCTCCCAAATCTCATTAGGCCCACAGGTCCGCTTTACTATGCCTGTCTTGTTCACCGGACATGGGGCCTGTGCCACGTGGCCAGCCTTGGTGACATTCCAGGCAACAGCTGAGAAGTCCTCAGGGCAGGTGGTGTCTCCATCTGAAGAATGATATCAGGGAGGCTCAGCAAACACAGTCTAGCCCCAGCCTTTCTGGGGCAAAAACCTGTTCAGGCTCTGGAGACGGGCTGTAGGGCCCAGTGCAGGGAAACGTTAAGGAGCACGCAGGGCAAGCAGTGAGAGGTCAACCGGCTGGACCCCAAGTCCCACATACCCTGGATGACGGTGACAGAGATGGGGACCCTGAGAGGGGTCAGTCCTGGGCTCTGCAGCTCACAAGTGTATGTGGTGTCAGCCACAGGGCAGTGCTGAACGGCCAGCACAAAGCACCGGGAGCCTGGCTTGTTGACTAAGGAGGCTGAAGGTAACATGAGAGAGGGAACAGTTACTGGGCTTGGAACAGACCTGGAAGCCAGCAGGCCCAGAGATGTCCTTTCAGTCTTTCTAGCAACTTCAGAAGCAGATGACGCAGTGCGGAAGACCTCAGTGGTATGAGAGCATCAAACTATGAAGGCAGCGCTTGGATTTTGGTGAGGGGCACCTGGGGGTCTCTAACTAGCCCCAGGACTTGAAGCCAGGTTCCTCATTTGTAGAATGGGGACTATCACCAAACGAACTTCACAGAGTATATTGCAAGAGTTTATTAAGATTGTGTGAAAACATTTTGCAAACAGATATCTACATTTATGTGGTTTTTGCTGTATCAATACAATTAGGATGCTTGTGGGGTAAAAACAGGGTTGGACTTGGACCCAGAACTCCCAGGTTGAACTGCAGCCTCTGCTTCCTGCGAGCTGGAGAGCCAGCTGCCTGGAGACCAGCTACCGCCTGTCCCCTGGCCCCGACAGCCCCTCTGTACCTTTGCTGCCCTCCCTGGGACTCCAGGAAGCTGTGTAGGCCAGGTGCGTGCTGGGGATGCAGCAGGTCAGCTGGAAGCCAGGGCAGGTGGCACAGGAAATGGAGAGCTGGTCTGGAAGCCGAGCCACATCTGTTGCCTGCAGGGGCACCTTCACCACCTGGGACAGCTCCCATCTGAATTCCTGAGCCTCAAAGCAGCCCGTGTACTCACCTGCAGATACACACCTGCTGCACCTCCCAGCTCCTCCGGCCCCCACCTGTGCCACAGAAGCTCTGCTGCTTCTAAAGCCACACCTGAGGTCTGCCTTCCTGGTCCGGCCTCTCCTTAAGCCCAGCAACAAAGGTCCCTGCCCCCGAAAGGATTTCTAGGAGGAAGAGGCCTGGAGAAGAGGCTCCTGACATTTTTTTTTTTTTTAATAGCCCGGAGCCATGGATTCCAAGGTGAACCTTTTTCCTGCGAGGGGATGCCCTTCCCGAACCACCTGATGCCACTGCAGTATCTTGAAGCAAAACACAAGGTCTGTTCTCTGCTGAAATTGACACCCCACCTTCAGCATTCTCCTGTTAAAATTGTTCACATCAGTGGGCTCCTTAGCCTTTGTTTCCCCAGAATGAATACATGGAAAGATGCAAAAGGACAGGAAGGGGAGAGAAAAGCAGAAAGGAGAAGAGAGGGAGGAGGAGGAAGGTGAGGGAAGCAGGGGAAGGGAAGGACAAAGAGACGGGCAAGGCGGCGGAGGAGAGAGATGAAAGGAAGGGCAGGCTGGCTACCTGCCCATCCATGGGAGATGTTGGGGAGCTGAGGACAGCCTGGCCTGGGCTAGAGGCCAGGGACACATGTGTCCCTGGCTGCAGGAGGATGGGTGTGGGACTGCCCACGGGCCGCAGGAACCATTTCGGGTTGGTGGTCTCACGGCTCTTGATGAAGGTCAGATTCAGAGTGGCGCCAGGCGTCCGCACCCAGGAGGTCGGGCTCAGCCTTCCGGGGACTGCGGGGAGGCAGAAGGCAGGCGCCCCTTGGAGCAGGAATTGTGGCCCTCTGCGGTTAAGCCAACTCCTTCCCCATCTTCGGAAGCCTGTTCCTCGTCACTTTCTCCCCACCGCCCCCAGTACTGTTTTGTTTTGTCCCTGGATGAGAGTGGCTGCTGTAGTCCAGCCGAGGACCCTGTCATTGGGAACCAAACAGGGAAGTCTTGGGGCCCACGATTTCCCCTCCCACAGGGGACCTGGGGCTGCTGGAGCCCCTTCCTGGCCCTCTAGGGTCAACAGCAGTCACTCTAGCCCTTTCTCTCCTTGTCCATATGTCTCAGGAGCCCTGTTGTTCATTAGCCTCACTACTCAGTCCCAAGCTCGAGGCTGTGACCCACCAGGATAACTGGCGATTCTCCCACCAGCGGAGCTCCTGGGCTTGGGCCAGCTGGCCGAAACACAGAACTCAGAGAGGAGAAAACACAGGCTTTCTTTCCCAGGGTCCCACTGGTTTCCAAGTTCCCAAATCTCCTTACCAGGTGGCAGCAACTGGCAGGAGCCGGCTTCAGCGGGGCCGAGGACCAGACAGCCACAGGCCGTGTGGCTGTGGGCGGGCTCGCAGGGAGGGTGACGGGAGCAGATGCTGGTGTTCCCCTGGCACCCAGACAGGCAAGCACAATAGGTCTGCCCATCGCCGTGGAGGGTACACTCTGCGGCAGAGGGCGGGGACAAGATGTGGGCAGGCCGTATGAGAGAGCCAGTCCTCTGATGCCTGAGCAGCTCTAGGGCTGGCTGTCTGGAGCCATCCCAAAGTCACAAGAGCCTCAGCCATCAGGGACCGCCTCCTCACTCAGAGGTCTGGCTGGGCAAAGTCATCAGGGGTGGGGCCCCGGGGGCGGGCGGAGAAGTCCCAGCCCACGACCCTCTGCTTCTTGGGCTTCTGCCAAAGTTTAGAAGATGGGGACATGGAACAGGAAGGGAAGGGTCTGTCTGGTGGGGAGGCGAGGAAGGAGCTGGGCCATGGAGACCCTCCAGGAAATGGGAGGGGCTGGCAGCGGTCTAGGCGAGCTGGCTGCGGGAGACCTGGGAAGCCCGCGCCCCCTTCTCTCTCAGCCCCCTGTCCCCCACAAACGGTGGAAGGGCCATTGAGAGGGAGGGCTCCGTAGAATCCGCCCTACCTGTTGAGGCTGAGGCCAGTGAGAGTTCTTGGGAAAGAAGAAGCCGAGGCAAGGGGGTGAGTCAGGGTCCTGGAGAGTGCCAGTGGCCAGGTTTGATTTGGCAAGTCCAGCTGTACATAGACCGAGGCCAGGACGGATTCTACAGGAGCAGAGGGGGCAGCTGTAGAGGAGAGGTGGCAAGGCCACGGGCTGGTCCCCTTCTGCCTCCCACACCTGGCTGGTCACTGGACCCTGGGCAGATCCCACCTCCCATAGCCCAGCTGGGAGCTGACAAGACTCGAGAGGGCCATAACCCCTCATTCGCAACATTGCATTCACATACAGCTCCATGTCACCCCCCCTCATTTTATAGATGAGGCTCTCCAAGATGAATGATTTTCTCAAGGCCTCACAGCTAGAGAACTGGCCTCCGGACCTGACCAGGTGGACTGTGGACCTGGACTGTGACCAGCCATGGATCCAGTCTTCCGTGGGTCCTCTTCAGCCTCACTCCCTGCTCCCTGACCTCCCCCCTTGCCCTCCCACTGCTCCCTCCTTCTTCCTCCTGTCCACTCCATCCACTCACCCCCTTCTCCACTCCTTTGGTCCAATTGCTGCCCCGATTCCCCTCCAGCCTGACTCTGTGCCTGGAACAGAGGAGAGACCTCTGAGAGGATGCTGACCCCAGGTTTCTTCCAGAGACACCCTCTTCCCCAGGGGGCTCGGGCTAGCCTGAGTAATTTGGCATGACTCCATCTCTTTGAAGCTCTTCTTTTTGCCTAGCCAGAAGCAAGCAGGCACATCAGGAGAGGAAAGCAGGCTTCCGGTAGGAGGCACCCGGGATGCAGCCCCAAGGACTCTGCCAAGGCCTGCAAATCCCACCCGAACCCGGGAACCAGGCACACCCTGGAGAGTCAACATGCTTTGCTTAATTCCTTCCTGAATTTACCTGTCCCTGGGCCTCTAGGCTAATTGAAATGGCTGTGTCTGGAACACCAGTGGGGAGGGCCAGACCGAGCCGGCTGGGGCCCAGAGGCTTGGGGAATTCTGTTCTTTTCATAGGAACTGCCACAAGGGTGAGCCTAAGGCAGCATCTTCCCTTAGACTCTGGTTCCTGTAAATTATTTCCTCACCAACTCCTCCCTCTTTCAAAATTGTATGTGAATGTGGGTACTATCTCAAAACAGATACAGATAATAGATATGGGTACGGATACAGAGATGTCTTCTTGGGGGAAAACAGAGATAAAAAAGTGCTAACCTTGACTTTGCTGTCTTTCTTCAGATTCTCTCCTGTCCTCTATGCTGGAAAATTTTTCTTTTCTTTCCATTTTTAAATTAGAAGCTTGACTGGGAGAATCTTTATCCAAAATGTAGCTGGCATCACTGGAGTTCACAGTGACTCAAAGAAACAAAAGCTATCCCACACCCTGGAAAATAAGACTGACCTATCAGAGATTTTATAACAAACTGGCCTCTCTTTTTTACATGACTTCCTCTCCCTCCAGCCCTTGCGCCTCCACCTGTCCCTTCATCCACACCTTGCTGCCTCTCACGCTGATAGGCCCCTATGTCAGCTCTGTAGACCTTCCCTGGGTACTTGCCCCAGGCTTACTCACAGGTTGAGATGCTTGAGCAACTGGTGACCTCACCAGGGGGAGAGTCATGGCCAGGAGTACCACGGAGGCAGCGGAACAGACCATGGCTCAGTGAAGCAGTCCTCAAGAGTCCTCCAGCTGCTGCCTGATGCAAATTTCCTCAGAGAAGAGTTGGCAAGGCTCAGCACAGCTGGGTTGGGAGGGAAGAGGGGACGGGAGCCAGCCGAATTTACAGAGGAAGTGCTACAGTTTGTGACCGAGTCACATGGGCATCCAGGTCCCAGTGGGGCCACCTGGAACCCATGTGCCCCAGTGACAATGGTCTGCGCAGGTTCCCCCTGGGTTCTAAACCAAGAACTCGGTGCACAGGAGAGGGCTTGGGGGTCCTAGGTCACAACCAGCAATATGCCAATAAGCCAGGGATCTGGGAAATCTGGATTGTCCTGAAACTTCTGGGAAGCTGGATCATTGATCTCAGAGCCAACATAGAAAGGACAAACATTAGGGCGGATTTCTAGCCTAAAATAATTTCCAGACTCTTAAATTTAACTAAGAACCTGGAAAAATGCTGGGAGAAATTACTAAGTAACTTCACAAAATAGTTTTGAAGTGAGGATGGTTTTTCCAGACAAGACACGAAACCCAGAAAGCCAGAAAGAAAATAAATTAGGCTGTCTAAAAAGTTTTAAATTGGGGATGAAAAGCACATTAGGGTAAAAAGGCAAAAGACAACATGTTTGTAGCACGATGATTGAATAAGGGGCCAACCTTAACAAAAGAGTTTTTTATCTTACGTTAGTAAGATGGAAAATGGGCAAAAAATAGAGTCAGTTTACTGAAAAAGAATTATCAATAGTTTGATAAACATATAAAAAAATCCACTTTGAAAAAATAAAACTGAAAAAAAGAAAAAACAGACAAAAATAAAACAAAAAAAGAAAAAATTAAAAAATGAAATAAGAAAATACTCTGTCACCTACTAATTATCAAAAGACATTGATTATATTCAGTGTTGACAAAAGTGTAGTGACACATGTATACAAAAATGTGTGCATACGGATGTTCAAGGCAGAGTTGTTTGTGACAGCAAATGAGTTAAACAACCAAAATGTCCATTCAAAAGGCGTATTTCCAAACAACTGAACATTGTTGTGGAAAAAAAGTGAGGTAACTCTATTTGGGGGTGAATCCCAATATATATGGTGAAGTGTAAAGTGTGTATTATGCTGCCTTTTACATAAAAAAGGGGATCTATATTCAATATCTGTGCTTTTTATACCTAGAATATTTCTGGAAAAACACATCAAGAACGTTGGCAACTGTTGCTTCTGGGGAAGGGGGTTAAGGGTGCAGATGCGTCTGTTTGATATATATTTTTTCTAAACATAGGCATGTATTTTCCTAATTAAGAAAAGGAAGAATGGATTTACACATGCACACACGCAGGCGCGTAAGCACGCACGTGTGCACATGCACATGAGCACACACACGCACATGCACACGCACACGCAATACCTATGGTAAAATCTAGCCACAGTACAGTTCTACTTCCACCACCTCTTCAACTGTCCGCTTGCTAGGACGGCTGCCGAGGTACAGCTGACACACAGAGCAGTGACATGCATGGGAACAAAGACTTTGTTAATAATCGATTTGAGAATGGTAAAGAATCAGGTTTGAGAACGTGAAGGGGGTGGCCATAAGCATTGTGGGAATTGCCCACCGCAGCTGCAGACGGTCTCAGAGGGTCCAGGGGGATATGGGCCACCACCAGCATCTGCCAGAGTCACCAGAGTGCATCAGTCCAAGCATAAGGTTGTCCTGGACGATGCTCGACAGGGTCTGTCAAGGAGCAGGGACGACAGAAGAGAGAGGTGGAACTGTTTCTGTAATTTGAGAGAAGTTTCAAACATTTTTGCCTGTACAAAAAAACACCGAGAAAAGATCGGAAGGAAATGCTACAGGCTCTAGGAAGTGTCCGTTGACTTTACCTCAGGATTCCTCAGGGCTTCACACCGTGCACCAGGGGCCTTAAGTGATATTTGTTCTAAATGAGTCAGTGGATAAATGACACACACCAAGGGGCGCCTGGGTGGCTCAGTTGGTTAAGCATCTGATGCTTGATCTCAGCTCAACTCTTGATCTCAGGGTTGTGAGTTTGGGCCAGCGTGGGGCTCCACGAACAGTGCGGGGCCTACCTAAAAAAAAAAAAAAAAAAAAGAAAAAAGAAGCACATCAAGACATTAACAGTGGTTGTAACTAAATGGTAGGATTTGGCATGTTTTTCTATGTTCTGCTTTTCAATTTTATATTCCATAATGGAAAAAAAGTCCTAACAAAAATACCAGATCTTGCTGTGCCCGGGGGGCTCAGGGGCTCAAGTGACCTACTCTTGATTTCATCTTAGTCGTGATCTGGGGAGGGGGGAGGTCCCAGCTCAGTGGGGAGTCTGCTTGAGATTCTCTCCCTCTCCTTCTGTCCCTTCCCACCCCCCTGTTTGCGTGCACCCACTGTCTCTCTCTCAAATGGATAAATAGATCTCTAAAAAATAATCTTATAGTCTCAACTCCTTCCTTGTAGACCAACAAGGCTCAGAGTCCTTCAGGTTTGCCCAGGTGTCCCCGGTTGCCAGGAAGCACCCAGAGGCTGAATCAGGTCTCTGGGTTAGGGTGGGGTTCAGGCAAACAGGTACTTAATTGCTACCACCTACCTACTCCCAAGTGGAAGGTCAACCGTAAGGCTATTGGTCTCTGTCCTATATACCTAATGATATTTGGAAACCAGTAAGTTTCTACCCCTGCTGGCCGTTTCTCTGGGCTCCTAGGTTGCACCCTGGGCAAAAGAAATTTCCTTTCCATTCCTTTGTGCTTTGAGCCCTCCAGGCCATTCAGCAGGGTCTTTGATAACAAAGGTTTGTAATCTGGGTTTCTCTTATCTGTATCCAAACAGGTTATTTTAGGAGGTTTTACCTCCGTTACTATGTAAACTACTAACAGATTACTAAAGAATAAATGTAGCTTAGACCTTTATCCCATATGAATCCTAACTTCTTTTCTCTTTCCATCTGACATGGCACGACATTATTGGAAATATTAAATGACAGGTTGTTAGATTGGGAAGGGACCTTAACTGAGATACTGAAGCAGCCAGGCTGGGTGCGAGGATCCGGGGGGCGGGGGCGTCCCACAGGCCCAGCCAAGAGGCTCCTTGGCTTTGCACAAGATAGAAGTCAAACGAGAGCGAGAAGGAAGTGAAAACAGAGTTCACTGAATAGCGTGAGTGACAGAGAATAGCAGACCTAGTGTCCGGGAGACTCGGAAAGGAAAGGAGAGTTAGTCTTGTTGCTGGGTGTTAGGGGTTTACATTGGAAAGGGGTTCTGGGTATGTGTTCCTTCAGGAATCCAGGGTAGGGTCCGACCAAAGGTGAGTGACTGGTGAATTATAGGCGTTATTTCATAAACTGTTGAAGGTAGGGAGCATTGATGTCAGCATCAGCTGAGGTTTGTTTGAAGCGAATGTCCTAGAACACGTTTGGGATCCAGCTCTTCTTAGCTATTGTCACGTGTTTGGGGGCCGAGGATGAAACTTGGAGAATGGTTAACTCTCTTGCTTTCCCCTTGGATTGGGAATGTAGCTTCTCTGGATTTTACTCAGATGCCAGGTGAAATACAGAATGTGAGTAAATAGGTCCTCGCAGGAAAACAGCAGAATTGGAGGCTTTTCAGTTTCTCTACCTCAATATTATCTACTGCATCTACTCCAGCTCTCTCACTTTATAGAAGAGGAAAAGGAGCCAGGAGATCACACAGCTAGTGGATGGCAGAACCAAAGTTTTAAAGCCAGGTCTTCTGACTTTGAATCTAAGGAATTTAGACAAAGGGAATTAAGATGGATCAATTTAAATATAGAATCATAGGAACTTCTAGCCACAAAAATGCACTAAAGATAGTATGAGATAGCATTTGATCCCACAAAGAAGACAGTTCTTCATAAAGGCTTCTTTTCCTAAGGAGGAGAGGAAACGAATATAATATAAAAACAGGGGGGAGTATAGAGAGCATGTGCATAAGAATCAAGCAGTTCTTTCAGTCAGCTCATGGATACCTTACTTATCTAGATGTCCTTAATTCAGCAAATGTGACCATTGGGAACAAAGCTGGTATCTACAAGGAAAAATATGAACTGTCTTATACAAATCACAAAAGGCTGCAAGACGGTAATATAACTCGACGAAAGAAGAACAATTCTTTTTTCTATGAGCAGACAACTGTGTGGTAAGGTTTGAAAAAGGGCAACTAATGCAGAAGCAGACACGGGAATCAGACAGCTGGGGATCAAGAGCAGCTTCCTTACTGGAAGAACTGACTGAGAGAAGATGGTTTGGGTCTCAGCCAGATGCACTTCCCAATCCATCCTCTCTCAACTGAATTTACCTAGCTAGTCCCTGACATAGCCAGGCATCTCCGGGTCTCCCTTGTGGGGACAGGGTTGCTCAGAATGAGTCTGGAGGACTGGCCATTCCCAAAGAGGGAGCATCCAGAGCTTATTCTGCATGTCTTACCAAGCAGTGAAATCACTTTTTGCTTGGGGGAGAGGAAGAGGGAACAAAGACTATATATCCTTCTGGGGAGGAGAATTTCCCTTCCCTTGGTGGAAACATGAGAAGAAAAGAGGAAACGTTCCATGCCAACACCATGCAAGATTATAACAAGATTTATTTCAGTATTCTAGTGAAAGAGAAAACTGGAAAACTTCATTTAACTAATGACAAAATATACAAATGAGTAGATTTTATAAAATCGGTAAACCTAGACAATCTGTTTCAATACCTTGCTACAAGCCTTAGGGGAATGTGTGCAAAGAGCAAAAAATAGTAGGTACTTGTTCTGGAAGCCTATTGTTAACCACATCCATTCCACTTTCTGACTCACTTCCTAGAATTACCTTCCACCCATCATCCCAGGTTTACCATGGAAGTAGTCACTTTATACAGTCATGCTGTGGCTCCCTGACTACAGTCAGTGGGGACACATCTAATGCCACGTTGGAACATTTCTCTCTTCCGAGATATTCTGAGAGCCAGGACCTAGTGAGGGCCTGAGCTT